TACAAACACCAAAATGGGGCAGTTGGGGCCCCCCCCCCGGCCCCACCCCCCCCCCCCCCCCCCCCCCCCGACCGCGACACTATATTATGTATTGTCAATGAAAATACACCAAGCCCAGCACATTTTATAGAAACTTATATATTTGCGTATTCTGGTATATTTTCGTGTATTGTCAATTAGAACACAACAAGCCCAGCAAGCTCAGGAAATAGTGTCTTTCTGAGAATACACTGCGTACCGATATTCTGACATCTATGGAATTTAAGGAAATAAGAATTTAAGAAAATAACGAAAAGAAGAGAATAAGAACTGGAATAAATGGGGGAATCGAGAAAAGAAGGATTTAAGGAAATAGGGGAAATAAGAATTTGAGGAAAAAGAAAAATAAGGCTATTTCTTACACATAGTCTAATAGAAGAAAGTGTTTTCTTCACATTCATACGTTTTCCAGAATTTTCCGATGGGTTTTTGTGGAGATATAAGCGTCGCGGTAAATAACCGGAACAAAAGTGACCTGTACACAAAGTGGCTTTTCCTCTAAAAGTATTTTTTTGATGTTTCCACTATTTCCTTAAATCCTTATTTCCATCCTTTCTTCGTTTTCTTATATCCTTATTTCCTTAAATTCTTATTTCCAAAACCCCTTATTTTCTTCGATTCTTATTTCCTTAAATTCTTATTTCCATACTCCTCTATTTCGAAAATTCTGATTTTCTTAAATTCTGATTATCTTAAATTCTAATTTCCTCAAATCCTCGTTTTCTTAAATCCCTATTGTCTTAAACTCCTATTTCCATATTCCCTCTGATTTCTTAAATAGTTATTTCCATATTTCGTCTATTTTCTCAAATTCTTATTTCCATCAACCCTTATTTCCTTAAGTCATTATTTTCTTAAATGCTCATTTCCTTTAATCCCTATTTCCATATTTCGTCTGTTTCCCTAGATCCTTATTTCCTTAAATTCTTATTCCAGTAAATCCTTATTTCGATAAATAGTTGTTTCCGTAAGTTCTTATTTCCTTAAACCCTTATTTCGTTAAATCCTTAGTTTCGTATTTCCCCTATTTTTAATCACATTCTTCATTCCCCATATAACAACATGTACAATAACATATCGTTATCTGCTAGGAGTAGCGTTTTCCGGGTAATGATAATTCGACATCTACGAAGCAGGTTCCCGGCGCTTGGGAACGTTACCCCAAGGACGGGAACCCTGACACGCCTAATGTATAGGAGCTTCTGTAAAAGTTTCTATGCTAAATTTATCTAAACCTATAATGCATTAAAATTGCAGGCATGCAGCAGAGTCTCGACTAGTTCTGAACAAGTATCAAAATACCATTTGATTTAGATAAAATTGTTTTCTAGGATAGAAAAAAGCCATTTAATCGTAATGTGAATTTATTAGGATCATTAAATAAAAAAAGTCATTGCAAAAGGCACACGGTACCGTGAAAACCTGTGAACGATAGCCGCACAGAATGAAGAAAAGAAAAAAAATGAATTATCACTGTGTAAGTCTGTGTATATTTTTTATATATGAACTTATCAGAGATCAAAAGCAATCAGTTGTTTTCCTCTTAATCTTCAAGCACAACAATGACTGGTAAACGGCTGATCCATTTTTCTAATTCATTCAGAATTGTCGTCTCACAAATTAACCATGAGCGCATCTTATAGCAATCATAACCATGACGAATAATAAGCATGTTTGGGATTTTCTCCACTGGTCGTGGTTTTGTATGGATTTGTTCATTTTCACCACCACATTCGGATAATGCATACGGTAATTCGAGTGTGAATTCATGATCGAGAAAGTTTTGTCTGTCCGATCGACATATAAGACATTGTATCCCACAGAGTGACATTAGTTCATTAGCTAATTCAGTTCTAATTTCAACTTCATCCACTGAAGCTACACAAAACAAGCTGGTAGCTAGTAGTAATTTAATTACCGAGTGATCATATTTTTCTTTGAAAGTAATCTCTAATTTTGTACATATTTGTTTAAATTGTCCAATATATTCAAGACCATTGTCCCATTGCTCAGTCATACGAAAGCATTGAAACAATGTATAGTAAGCAAGAACAATTGCTGGAATAAGCAAAATAGGTTGATTTAACTTCTCACATACATACGATAGTACTGGACACTTTTTGGAGTCTTCGCCAAAGTTTATAATTGACAATGCATATCGATCATCCTTTTGTCTAAAAATACAACGTACTTGTAGTGTAGGTGTACGTGCTGATGAGACTCTTTCTGCATGAGTTTTAGATAATCACTCAGAAAAAAATTTTCTTAACTGAACAAAACAGGATTTCGAGAAATACAAACAACAAAAGTTGTCAAGTGAGTTTTTGAGCTACCAATCAATTGAGGTAAGAACTTGCGGATATTTGCATCCGCGAAATTGAACACTGACATTCGTGTTAGTTTTTTACCTGAATCTTTTAGTAAAAGTTATGATAAGCTTTTTCAAAAGTTCCGTAGTAGCTCGAAAGGAAAGATGTTAACCAAAATTTTGAAACAGTGACGAAACAACGCCGCCCACCAGTAACGACAACTCATTCGTGTGATCAGTGTAATCGATTTGGTCATGCTATTTTCCGCATTAATCACATTCAGTTTCTAATTAAAGCAAATTCTACGAGCTAAAAACATAATCTTTTACATAAAAGTGATTGCTATCAAATCTTAACAATAAAGTGTAACACATACGCTGGAAGAAGAGTTTACTTATCGTCTTCGAACTGTATCATACAGTCACAGCTATCTAACGCGATACAGGCATACCTTTTAATCTTAGTAGCTGAATAATACAAGCAGGGCGTCAGAAGTTATTTCATACATTTTCTTCAATGCAGAATATCGACTTAACTTACTGGTTCGTGTTATAATCGTTTATCACTGTTTTCAATAAATCAATGGCTTCGGAATAATAACCCAGAAGAAAATAGTATGTATATCCCATGTGCACCTGAATTTTCCACCTATCTGTTGATGATAATTGCAAAGCACCATCGAATAAACTTTTCATTTGTTGACAACATTTATCATGACGTTCTTCGATCAATATTTTTCGTTCTATATTGATATTTACAAGAATAGGATCATTTATTTTTAATGCATACAAAGCAGATTTTAATTCGAAGATAACATTAAATTTCTTTAATGCTACTTCATAAAATACATCTGATATTAAATCATTTTTAAAACCGACAGCGGATAATCGATCAATGAGATACTGAATATCGTAACATGATGGCAAATCTAACAATGGTGTACAAAGCATTGTCATGAAAAATTGTAAAATTTGTTGAAGCCGCGTTTTTTCTATCGGTATAAAATTGTAATCATTTGTATTTGTTGGTACACCATTTAATTTTAGAAATGGAATGATAATAACATTGTCTTTAAAAGAAAAAAATATATAACTGTGTCATAAGAGCGAAGTAAACTATTGAAAAAATTCTTTTTATCTGGATTGCTAATGCTTACTGCACGTAAATATTCCGATAAAAATTTTTGATAGGAAATACAAAGTACCTCAATTTCACGTGTCTTAGATGGTATATTACCTGTTTCATTATCGTCATCTTCATCGTTACTGTTTCTCTCATCTTCATCATCAACATTCTCATCGTTACTGTTTCTCTCATCTTCATCGTCAACATTCTCATCGTTACTGTTTCTCTCATCTTCATCATCAACATTCTCATCGTTACTGTTTCTCTCATCTTCATCGTCAACATTCTCATCGTTACTGTTTCTCTCATCTTCATCATCAACATTCTCATCGTTATTCTCTCCGTCGTAATATACGTCTATCATGTTAAATACGAATACAATTGGATAACATAAATTGTACGTTAACCAAATGGGTTTCTTTTTATCATATCTCTCAAACTCTTCATGTGATTGCCGATGAAAACAATTGGGTAAATCTTCTCGTAATGATGGTGTTATTATTATGTTTAACCATGCAAACAATAATTCTTCAATATCCGATATGTTATCAAATGACACTGATAATGGGAACAGTTTATTGGATAACTCGACAATATGTTGCAAATGTTGTAACTGAAGATGATCCTCATCTTTTAAAGCTAAAAATAGTAATGATCTAAGATACCATGTGTAAACTTTTATTTTTGAATAATCAGCTACTAGAGGTGTTTTGATACAAGACTTTCGTACACGATTTTGAAAATTTGTCATTTCTTTTATCGTTGCTACTGGTTTTGAATATAGTTTATCTAACTGTTCAGCTAAATATAAACATTTCTCGTCAGATATCAATCCTAACATGTTAATGTTAGAGATGCAATAATTGGACATTGTTTTTGATTTTAATACCAGTGATAAACGTTGAATTAAATGTAAGAAAAGATCTGTTTGATTGTCTGTTTGTTTCATCAAATGATAATTCTCTTCCATGTATGTAAACATAAATGTTTTTATATGATGAGAGGATATTATGTCTAAATAGAAAAAAAATCGAATGTAGCTTTGAATGTCAATGTTATACAAGAACTGCTAATGGTCGCATCAAGAATTCATCATTTCAATGCTTTACAAGCTCGTTTTGTCTTCCATCGAATTCTTTTTGTAAACTACTAGCAAAGTTCGTTCTCAAAACACGACTATTTTGAACTTAACTTTACATAAAATATGTTCAACAAAATTTGATGTTCAAATAAAATTTTCCCATGACGTAGTCCAGTATACACTACAAAATACGCTGCACAAGAAAACTGCTATAAAAAAGATTATCAGCACGACATATCCGGTGCTAAGTCTTGAATAAACAGCTTTAATAACCGGTAATAATCTCTTTGTTGTTTATTCCATGAATTTGTCAATAATACTTCTGCAAAACTGAGCGATAAACGCCACGTTAGTGGATCTTCTTCTCCTTCATTAGTCCTGCACCAACATTTCGGAACTAAATGGCATGATGAATTTGATACCATTTCAACTATATCTGTGGATGGCCATTGTTTTGAACGATTGAGCCATTGTTCTCGGATATGATAAGGAATTTTTAACATTGGTAATGAAAAAACAAAATCTTGTAATGCTTTCCCATTCGCTAAACTAGTTGAAACAGCTGGTCCATGTAATTCTATCAAACACGGACCACGGTCAGCATATTTTGAAAACTCATTCTGTAATAAATCTGCCAATTTTCTACTCGATATATATTGTTTATTATTCCGTTCTTCGAAGATATCTAAATTTTGCAGTGTAGAATGATATTTGTTTTTTGAATTGTATTGAATGTAATAGAAACCAGGATACTGTGTTCTTTCAACCAATCTAATCTGTAATGGTGATCCCGTATCTATATCTAATACAAAAGCATCTTGTGGTTCATAATATCTATATCACATAATAATAACATAATATCTATATCACTGCCGGCGACGGACCATTCTAGACCAAAACGAGAAACAAAACATATATTACTATTACCAAAGTGAAGTCCTACTGATGTCGTGACTAATTCAAAGTTCAACCCATATTTTCTTTTTGGTTTATGTATATATATTATTTCGTCGTACGTAACGATTACGAGAAAGTTTAGGTCTTGACACGTGGAAGCTTAATCTTAGTGAAATCAGACACTAAAAAATTCAAGAAGACTGAGAATACATCCTGTTCCGCGGTGTTGAACATTGCGGAATCAGTATCATCCATTTCCGAATTCCACTATCATTTAACGATTCAATTTCCGAAATTCTGGAAATTACAGGACTGGCTGCTGACCAGAATCAGACGCAATTTCCGGAAATTCCGTTTTGACCTAATTCCCGGAATTCCTTTCTGCCCTCACCCTCATGTTGTTCTGTGTGGTTGTTGATTAATATCTGAAATAAGCCAGCAATTCCGAGACGAAATTCCGTCTGATTTCGGTCGGAACCAGTTCCTGCGATTCCCGGAATTCTGGAAATCGAATTGTCGTCGAGTAAGTCTAATTTGTTAAATGATTTCCCGGAATTGGATGGAATTGATTCCGGTGGTGGAACTGATTCCACAATGTTCAACATCGCGGAATAGGATGTCTGCTCGGTAGCTCTGGTTTTACCATGTCTGATTTCAATAGAAGTAGGTCTCCAAGATGTGAATTTTCTCATCATCGTTAGATATCATGAAACAATATTCATATAAGCCAAAAATAGACAGTGTTTGGATTTTAACTAAGCTGTTTCTTACGATTGTCGCTTGATTTAACAACATATTGTTGAAGTAAACTAGTTAAATGACTGCCAGATAATTTAGCGGCAAAGCCATATGTCCAATTTAACGCATCAGCAAATCGTTCCTTCAAATGGATAGTATTCATACGACAACAACATATAGGTTGATCATTAAAACGTTGTAAACAATAATCAAGTAAAATGGTCAAATATTCAGTTTCACTTAATCGATCATTATAGTTCTCGTTCGACGACAATGAATTATCTGTTGGTAGGTTCATACAAGGATTTAACATCTAAATAGGTGCAAAAGCAGGAGTGAGGACCGCACCCTTATCCTTCTATTCTTTTCATGTTCTTCGAATTTTTTTCTGAATCACATTAGTTACAGAGGAGGGTGTTGTTATTGCAGAAACTGAACTTACTTGAAGAATTGATGATTCTGGTATGCATGTCATTGGATGTGATTTCGAATGCTGTAAACTTTCTTTACCATCAGCGTAACATGCGCCACATAAATCATAATTATCGCATATTTCGCAGCAATATCGCAAATCTGCAAAATTTTCTACACCACAATAATCACATAGGACATCTAAATAAAAGAACGTAAGCTCAGTTCATAGATAAAATGATTCATGACATTACCTTGTGTACTGGCATGATAATTAAGAGGGCTTACAATTTATTACGTAAATAATAAATTGCCCCACTTATTAACCTGTAGGATGAATAACAAAGCCCTTTATTACTCTCCAGCATAAACTGCTCTTTCTCTTGTCTATCCGGGCGGGTTCCCTGGCATGAATGGCTTTTTCACTATCATAAATAACAAAGCCGTTTATTACTTCGTCTATTATCAGCCGTTTATTACTTTTCGCAGAAAAACAGTTTGTCCAAAAGCATTTTGCCGAAGAAGCATTTTACCGAAACATGATTTTATCGAAAAACAATTCATCGAAAAGGCCCACCTATAGCTTACGCGAACAAAAGACAAAAAGTTACAAAGAATGACTAAACAATTACTGTCATTGTACAAGTCTCTCTCTAATATCTAGAAAATCTAGAAAATAGCCATTTATGCTGAAGAGTTTCTCATAGGACACATTTTTTCTGTGTGTTATAGAAGCTATTTATCCGAGTAGAAGAGCCATTTATTCTGGGAAGTAATAACTGGCTTTACCATTTACACTAGGAGAAAACGCCATGTATTCTAGAAAATAGCCATTTACGCTGAAGAGTCGCTCCTAGAACGCATTTTTTCTTTCCACGATAGGGAGCCATTTATTCTAGAAAAACTGTGAGTAGGCCATTTATTCTAGAAACGGCGCACTTTATTTATCTAGTAATAAATTGTAACTGCTGATAATTAATGGTTGTGCAGAAGATCTAAAAATGAAAGGCTACACAACTCGGAGAGACAATACTCTAAACTAAATCATATTCCTGTGGCATAGTTGACAGGAGATAGTTCGTTATAACAGCACCTTAGAAAACTTTTCTTCTGCTTAATAAAATGGTCGAACGATACATACTTTTCGTTATGATGATATAAACTGTAACTGATAGTGTTCTTTTTCTTTACTCTTTCACTAGCATCAAAGACAACAACAACAATCTTATCAGCACACACGTTTTCGTTGTGCAATTACATCTGACTGACAATGACAGGCACAGTTCTTAAATGGTTGTCTGATTCGAGTTCGAATATCGACGGAAATTTCGAAACCCCACAAACCACCTTTGAACCAAAGTCAACGACAAAGTTTTACTTCTCCCTCCATTCGATTTGTAAATAGACCATAGATGAGGCAACTCCAATGTTTTGGCTTTTAGTCTAGGCCTATCTGCTTGAGCTTTATTATCATTTTAATAATCGATTGCTTTTGTCTGTTCATTGCGATTTGCAAATAACTCGTATCGATCATTGAAGAAAATTGTATTTCGATCTATGAAACACTATTTGAAGCTATTAGTACAAAAGTTTATTTTTTTCCAGTGAATCACCTCGCTTGAAAGAACGTTTAAGTTGTCTAAAATCCACTTTTCATCACTCTCGAGCAAAGCCTTTTTTGACGATCGAATTGTATCCACGCAAAATATCAGTCAACGTATCAGTAAAATTTCTGATCACGAAAATTCGAATAATATCTAAGTTCAGTACAAACAGTAGTTTGATTCCATTGTTCTCGCCATGTGATAGCTTTTAAATCATTATGAGAGAGATTGAAAAGTCGACTTTTTTAGCGCCAGACGGATCGAGTTGAAATCTTGGGCAATGAATAATCAGTACTATCTAAATATTTTCTGAAAGTTTCATCAATAAAGTGTGAACAGTTGCGAAGATAATTATTTTTATAGCCGGCGCTAAGTGAATAGCGTTTGCTCTCATTGAACGTAGCGCTGCTGAACTAAAGTGATTGTTTCAAAGGAAAGACAGTGTCTAGCAGGATTCTTTATGATCTAAACCTGTTTTAGAGCATGTTTGTCGAGGTTTCAAACTTCTTTGTGTATCCACGGTCAATCTGTGTTGTTTGGTTACACAACACAAGTCACGTCAAATGGCAATTCTAAAGCATACAAGTCGTAGAAAGAAGACAATTATGTCAAAGAGTTATATCGTTGCTCAGCGTTGATCGAAAAATAGAATATTTATTCTCATTTTGTAGTTCGATCAGTCTTAAACGAAATTTTTCTGACTATTATGACTTTCCGGCTTTCTCTTCGGGTCATCATAGTCACAGAGAAAGTTTTATCCAGTTTCGATTTCTCTCTACTTTGAGTTTCTATCAATTTTCGTTATTCGTATTTGACAATGAAGACATAGACAATCAACCGTCATGTTTCAGTCTAGAAGAAGCGGTAAAAACAACGATTTAAGTGAAAAAGTATAACAATTAAAATATATGGAAGAAGGAGAAAGGATTCACGTGAAAAAGTAAAATCTTCATAAGAAAATATACACATTAAAAATTTAAATTAACATAAATAGAGTTCATATCGTTGAATAAATTATTAGAAAAATTAGAATTAATGTTGTTAAATAAAGCTCGGGTTTGATTTGAGTCCAATAAAACATAGTATTGTTGAAATCGCTTTTTTTAATCATTTGTTCTAATGAGTTATGATGTTTATTTGTAGATCGAAAATAGTCTGCTGTACTTAAATCGTTGTATTTTTCTGCTCCTTGTAAATTAAAACACGACAGTTCGTCGTCTTCGTCTTTTTCTTGAAATTCTGACATATGATCACATAATACATGCACATAAGGTGTAACGTACGAATAACCAAATATACGAGCGAATTGTTTAACCCTCATAATTGATGCTTGTTTTAAATGTACAAAATAATCTTGATTTGAATTACGTTCCGAATATAAGCTTAATAACTGGTAAAAATTTTGTATTAATTGCATAATATCTAAGGTTTGTTGTGGTTTGTTATAAAGTACCCGCGATAATGGGATATCCCTAAAAAAATTCCGCTCCATTCCATTCGTGCATCTTCCTTTTACTTCAAGATTTCCATTTTTCATTTCAAACTTAACACCATCGTAATATAAATTAATATTGGGTTTAGCTATAGCCAGTAAAACTGAACTCACACGTCCCAAAAATGATAGAAAGAGAATCATCAAACGCGCATACCCTTTGATATCGAATGTAACTCATGTAAAATTTGTTCGACTTCTTTGATGTTATCCATATCGTAAGATTCATTAATTAATTGTTTCATAAATATGTCATGTATTCGATGCTCAAAATGAAATAAATCAGGTCGTGCATCTTGAAAACTAAAAAATATGAATCTCATATCTAATTCTGTTCATATTTCTTATTTAGCAGTTTACCTGAATCGATCACCAAATATTGAATATCTTTTACAACCATATTGTCGTTTCTTTTCTGACCTAAAGTCAAAAGTATTGATAATTTTATTAAAAAATTGAGAATCTAACTTACTTTTTCATCTCGTTATCAACTTCTGCCATAGATCGTGCGCCACGTTTAGTATCGTATCCAGAAAATCTTCCTAATTCCTTAATGGTTGACCGATTAACTTTACACCATGGACAAAAATGTGTACCACTAACGGCATTGAGTCCAAATAAAATTAATAACATTTTATAATCGCATGCCTGTCTATAAGACAGTATACATATTATGATACACATCATTTTTATAATACGAAAGATACGTACTTAAACTTTATTGATCTATCGACGAAAAAATTGAAATATCGACGATTTTGTTGTATTCCGTTGATTAATTCATCTGGTATAACTTGTTTTACATTATCATAGTTTCATCTTCCATCTTGGATAAGCCAATTGGTAATAATTTAGAAGCAATTTGTTGTGTACGTGAACTAAATTGAGGACTACTCACAAGTAAAACGAGTAATTTTAATTTTTCACCGACCTCGGTTCTATTGACAAGCGTATTGTCATACTACGTCTTATTCTTGATACTGATGTTTGATTTGTATGTATTAATGTTTTTATTGCATCTTCAATTCAAATATATGATCCGAATTCAGTGTTTATAACGTTAATGTTTTCATTCATTTGTTGTCGAATGTTTCTTAAGCTCCATACACTTGGCATTGTATTATTAATATGATGTATTTCGTTCATGGCATGGTCGGATATATTGTGCTTCAGTTTCCAATGAAACACATTATGATTGTCCTGTGGTATTATTTCTGCTGTTGGTAAATCTGCTGATGTTTTTGTGGTTAATAATGTTTCGTCACTATCTGATGAATCTGAATAATGATCTGATTTACTGTGTGTTTGGTTGGATTTTGGCCGCAGTGTATATGGATGTGATATTGATGGTGTTGTAGGTGATAATGGTGTTGTTCGTTTTAATTTTTCTTAGAAATAATCGTCAAGTGAATCTTGTTGTAATCTTATTCGTTTTCGTCTTTGTATTGGTGAAGCATCTAAATTAAAAGAAAATGACTGGTGACGACGATCTTGGTCGTAGTGACGAAGGTGTAGCATATGATAGTCATGGGTGGAATTATTAGTGTGGAAGTAGTATTCTTCATTGAGGCTAACTCTTGACGGTGGTATACGGATAATTGTTGAAAATGGTGGTACTAGCAATTTGGGTACTGTTGTTTGTATGATGGAAGTTAAATCGTGTGTTTTTAATAGAAATGTTGTTTTAGTGTATAATTTTGATGTAAGTTTGTGCTTTTTCGATCGACGTTTCGCATATAATTTCATTAATTGGATTGATGCTTTACATTGACTATTTAAGACTGTGTTATCCTCTACGGAAAATAATAAGGAAAATGTTGACTCAATATAATGTATAATATGTTCAGATAGGCTTGGATAATTAAGTTGTGGGTCACTATTAATTACATCTATCAGTTCGATGGTAAGTTGTGGTAGAATATTAATCTAAATATAAGAAGTTTAGTATTCTTGTCATAGAGATAGTAAATCTAATGGTCCCTCGTTTCCTTTTTTGACAAAAGTTTTATTTGAACTACAAAATAACCCACTCCCCGCGTTCTAAGACCTTTTGTAAAACAGTTTCGAACAAATCAAGAAATTTGATGAATTTTTTCTGGAGAAACTAAATTTGAGGACATTAGATATTCAGAATGAGCATGTTCGTTTATGTTGCATAGCGCCAATATTTCACCAAACTTCAAAGAACTAACTTCAAAGAATAGCACTTTGTGCTGTTTGATGTCAGTTTTGATCTTTCTTCTTTATGCGCGCATATAGAGATAGATACAGGGTTGCTTCCCATTTTGCAAGCAAATTACTGTTTTCACACCTTCTACATTTCCTATTTTGCAAGCAAACATTTTATCAAAAATTTTCCTATTTTGCAAGCAAGTAATTAACAAAAAAATGTATATATTAGAACGATAAATGTATAGTATAACCAAACAATATGTACTACTCCGCGTCTTTTCCACCAACGTTATGCATGAATCGGTAGGCAGTTTTTCTTACGTGTTCTAGATATTCATTTATATCAATTACTTCAATGGTTAAAGCTGTTTTTGCCAAACATAAGGCGAAATCGTTCTCTTCATTTTCTTTCCGGCGCTTTTTAGACGGTAAGCCAGTGTCGGATTCTAATATATCACGGCACCGCGCGAAATCTTCTTCGTTGCGAATTTCTTCTATCCAGCGATATACGTTGGGATGAGCTGGTACACGTCTGCAGATACAAAAATAAGTTAATAAGCTATATATTTGTGTTACAGGAATTGATTATGTGATACATCTTTTTTTCATTTCTTTTGTAATCACTTGTCTGTCCGTCACTACACACTAATGGATACATTTCAACTGAAGCGCATCTCTGAACGTTGATGCTGAACCTTCACATCCACGTCTAAACAGTTACGTAAAATGAAAAAAAATGTTAACTAATTCATGGTTAACAACTTACCTTACACATTCCCATAGTTCAGAACCGTTTTTATTCGTTCTTCGTAATGAATATTCAAAGCTGTCAGCAATAAGATGCTTTTTACCGCTACTGTGATTTTGTATGGAGAATTGCATCGTTTCAGAAAGTTGAACTGTCTCCTATCGTCCCTCATCTTCCCTTTATATTGTTTCATAATCAACCTGTCGTTAATACGCTTTGAACTAGATTAGATTATGAATCGTTTGATCAAAAAAACAGATTTCATTTTGCGACTAAAAACATTCGTTTTAAGTACTCTAATAATTATGATAACTTAATCAGAGACCATTTAGATTTATAATATATATTCTTTCTTTCTATTAGATAATATGCTTGCAAAATGGGAAAATTTTTGTTAGTTTTTTTGCTTGCAAAATGGGAACCAGACAACGTTTGAAAAAAGTTCCTGCTTGCAATTTGGGATATCATAAAACAATCAAAAATAAAATTGCTTGCAAAATGGGCATGAGCCCGATATAGAAAGCAAGAAAGTGAGAATAAGTTTTATATTCTTCTTCAATTATTCTATGCCAAAATAACACTGCTCAGTGCGAATTTGTGGCACAATGAAACAAATCGTTTCATTCACAAAAAGTTTCATATTCACTATAGAATTATAGTGAACAATACCGTTTCGTGTAGAATTGCAGATAATCATTCACACGAAAACATCCTTTTCCGCTGCATTACTCAAAGAACGAAACAGTCATATACGTCAAAAAATGAACGGTACCCTTTTCTAAGAAATAGCTCTGCGTAGAGTCGAACTAGTGTACTGAAAACTAGTATAAAAAGTAGAAATACGTACTCGTTAGTTAATTTTATTTTAATTCGTCAGAATGGCAGATTATTGCACAAATTCTTATAAGACTTTGATCATGTCTAGTGTTCAGTTCTATATTCTCTACTTTCAAGAAAATGACAAAATTCGAGAAAATGGCAAAAATTCGATAGAGAATTTGACGGCACTGTGGTCTTAAAAAGTAATAATTCTAATTTTGAGTATCTCTTTGTGAATGTTCTTCTTCCATAATAATATACTTTAAATTCTGTTTGTTATCGCTCCGCTGAACCAGTTGAGAATTTTCTTAACATCTTAGAAAAAACATCGAGACGTTAAGTAGTAAATTCAAAGTAAGATTATTGGCGGTGGTTTTAGTGAACATTGCACGAAGTAGTGCAAACCTAAAAAAAACAACACGAGACGAGGAGAAGCTTTATGCTTTTGACAAAAAATAACCCTGTGAAAAAGGTCGTGTCACAATGAGTGGCTTAGAGTCCGTTAAATGGGACTTGATAGCTCAACTAGACGCTCAGTTGACAATTAACAGAGCAACCAAAGACAATTTTTTTATTCGTTATCTTTCGTTTGCTAATTTTTAAATAAATGTTATCTCGGCGCTCAAAAATTCTACTTACTAGAGAACATTTCCAAATGAGGCACTCCGATTTTGTTCAAACCTGGCAATTTATATGTAATCAAGGGTGTGGATTACGAATATGATAGCCGTGCCCATACATCTTTCCTAGCGGTTGTCTAGAGAACCGGTTCCTACACATCCTCTGAAACCCTAGTAATGTTTGATCAACATGTTGGGATTGTAGCCTGAAAGTTTTGCATCAAAATGAGATGCTTCCCAGCTCTCCACGACCTTTCTTTGCAAAGTTACAGAATTTACAAGAGAAGCCCTAAATTAATTTTCCTTTTCTTTCTATATCTCTGCGCTGACGATGAACATTTAGGGCTTCTCTTATAAATTCTGTAACTTTGCAAAGAAAGGTCATGGAGAGCTGAGAAGCATCTCATTTTGATGCAACATTTTCAGGCTACAATTCCAACATGTTGATCAAACATTGCTAGGGTTTCAGAGGATTTCTAGAAAACCGGTTCTCCAGAGAAACGTTGGGAAAGGTCTATGGGCACAAACGGCTATCATATTCGTAATCAGCGCCCTTGATTACATATAAATTACTAGGTTTGAACAAAATCGAAGTGCCTCATTTGCGAATGTTCTCTCGTTAGAATTTTTAATAAAAGAAAGCTGTGTACCAAGAAAGGAAAAAAAGTGAAATTAGGTATGCAGTGCATACTATGCACCGGTTTCGGTTTCAAACCGAAAAACTGATACGAAAAAACCGATATTCGGTCTAAACCGACACCGAAAAAACCGAGCATTTTAAGAAATGTTCATAGATGGTAGGACACTATATAGTATCTATAGGCAAAAGATCACTGAAGTCGACGTTGGACATGTGGAGAGGTCCCCTCGTTAGTATTATTGTGCAATTTTGTGTCTCGATAGTTATATATAACTCGTTAAGTCAAGATGTAGATTTGTGTGTACTTTTTTCTGGTTTTGGTTTTTCGATTGTCGGTTGACTGAAACAGGTACAGATAAAATCAGATGTTTCTTTGACAATAGTAAACAGATGTTATGTGCTCACTGTTTATGTCATTTTAAAACCTTAGATAAAAATGTCTGAGAGTTTTTTGATGTCGATTAACCGACACCGGTGCATACTTAAGTGAAATAAAGAACTTCATTCTATTCAAACTTCCAGTGTGATAACAATTTTCAGAAACGAGCGTTAATTGTGAAGAGAAATATATCGATGTTCTCAGATGGGATCGTACAGCCACCCGCCGTTTCGCAGATGGAATTACAATGGCCAAATTACGTTCACTTCTATCATGCATTAAATTGAAGAAAGTCGAATTCAACTTACTAAAGCAGAGAGTCGACGAAAACATCGGTGCGAGTGACGACGAATATGCAAGTGATAATGAGAATGACTATGTCTGTGACTGTACCATTATTTGTGGCGGAAGTATCGATCCCATGCTGCTTGCAATTTGACAATACGGTGGTAAAGAGAGTCCCTAGTGGAACTTCTCGTATCCAAGATCTTTGGAGAAAGCACCAAGAAATCAAGATCTCGAAACATCTTGGATTACTTCACTCAAGATCTTGGATGAATCCACTCAACATGTTGCAGGCGGTTCAGTGAACTTTTTATAAGATAAATCTTTCTTAACCAAGATCTTGACTTTTTGAATTTTTTCAGTAAGATCTTGATTCAAGATGCACCAAGATCTTGGAAATTCTTGAGTCAGTGTTTTGTTTTACACTCCTGTGTGAGTCAATTGGATACGAAGCGAGAGCATATCATGTCATTTGCCGTTTATCAAATGGATCCTGTAGCAAACACAATGAAGGTTTACATTGATCCAACACATTATACTTCATCATTTGCTGTCAAAATCGATGCACAAATATTGAAGAATGTAACGAACTCATCGTTGATAGGCTGAAAGTGACTACAAATTCGAGCAAAAACTTGCGAGTCTGGTGGCACCAATTAGGAAGTGAAGTGACGTCGACAATTTTTAGCTTTATCAATGCACTATTTCATTTTTATCTGGTTATTCTTTTCAATATTTACTGACATGAACAATCACTTTACATTCTGGTGAAGGAAATTCAACGAACGGAAACAAATGTAGTTTCAATAATTCTGTCATGAACAAGTTTTTTTTTCGAGGCGCTGGAAGATGATATTCTTTTTTCTCATTTCTAGTTATTTTTTTCAATTAAATATTCATCCTAAATAGCTGCGCCCAAGAATAAATAGATATTATTTTGATTTTTTTGATCGTACTTTAGATATAAAAAGTGATGTCAGTGTAGAAAATTTCGCAATTAAATAATATTCTTTTGGAATAAGTAAGATGGAAAGTTACAAAAATGATCAAAAAAAGATCAGTGTTCAAGAACATTTCAGAACTTAATAAAGTCACTAGATCTCAGGAAATAAATATAACTAAGAAGAAAATGGAGAAAAAGTAAAAGAACCTGGGGCATCATTTCATACAAACGATCCAACTGGTAAAAACATGGACGCCTGAACGAGGGCTCAAACCCCGGACCTTGAGGTTAAAAGCCTCGAGGCTTTTACCTGCGCTACCAACTAAAGTATTTTTATGTAATTCATTTGTTCTTATCACCTTTAGGAGTACAACATAAAACTCCTGAATACCGCGGTTTTCTATCTGATATTTTCCGATTTTAAGAACTATATTGCGTAACGCTTATTTTAGTCATTTTCTGAAATTAATAAACGCAATATTCCTTTTGTATGATATACGAAATTTAACAGAAGCATTAGTTCACGAAGCTGAACAGCTACTGTACGATTTCGTTGATGAGTTTGCAGTGCTATATGTAGAGATAAGTGTTCGATCTATTGTGCCCGACCTGTCACATATTTCCCAGCTCTGAATGATGCTCTGATCCAGAGTTATGACAGTTTTACTGGAAGCCCTAAAACATGCAATAGATACTGGCGCCACCATATCTCGAAAGCGACTTTCACCTTAACACCAAGATTTATCGGTAATGAAACATCGTAGAGAGCTCGGAAAGGTCTTAAATTGACGCTGAGACATGTGGCTAGACGTTAATAGAGCCCGAGTTTTGATATTCGGTCTAAATTAGAAAACCATCTTTACCAAAGTTAATGAGCTTTTTCAAATTTTGGACTTTTGACCCCGACCATTAATTTGGAAAAAAATATCAGAAATCCAACTCTATTAGCCTCTACCCACACGTGTTTTCGTCAATTTAAGACCAGGCCGTAAAAGACAACGTTTCATTATTGAGAAATCTTGGAGCTACGAACAGTCCCATTTTGGTCACTGTTGTGGCGATATCTCACAAACCATGCACGAACAAAAGGATTCGTCACCATTCTTTCACAAGATCAGCATCTCCTAAAAGTTTGACCAAGATCGGACTTATAATTTCAGAGATAAGTTTCTGACGGGGAGGGAGTCTTAATATTGTCACTTGTGGGGTTCCCGGTACTACATGGGTTCCGAAAGAAAATTCTTTGACAAAAGGGACTTCCTGACTCTCTTTTCGAGATGTGTGAGTCGTTCTTGCAAACTAGTTGTTCAACTGTTAAACTTTTATTGCTTTTTATTTAATTGATTTAACGCTTTCTTGCCAGAATTCATACACAGAAAAATCGGATGACATATCCGAAATGGTGTTCATCGTCTCCTGCGAAAGTCTGCTGGTAAATTACCTATGAGTTCACCGTCCGATATATTATTTCATTTTAAAATCTATATTTTATTTTATTTTTATTTATGTCTCACTCAAGAAAAAACGTGAATTTTCACAAATTTTCGTATCTTCTGATTTTCTGAAAAACTATCAAATTTCTATGATTCGTCCATGGTTCATTTGAAAGAGAAATGTTTACTCTATAAGAACATATATTTAGACATAATAATATCTTTAACTATCTAGGACTGAATAATAAGAAGACTAAGATATTCAATATTTGTAAATTTGCATTTTTCTCACTACTTTTTAAATATAAGCCATGCATATGGCCGTCCCACAATAAATCTTACTTCATTTTGTAGAGTTGGCAGTTCTGTATCGATTTATATGTAATAGAACATTTAAAAACACTAGGATGATGTACTATAAATCACATATCGGAGATAGGCATAGATTTCATCGTTTTCTTACTTTTCTCAATTTTGATACAAATCTCAAAGATCTGGACATGCAAACTATTTTTGAGTCATTACATATGTAGAGAAAGCATTTTTCTACAAAATGAGACGTCGGTGAGCTCTATGCGATGTTCTTTAATGATTTTACACTCACTTCACGACAAGCACTGTATTTGAGACCCGTCTTTTACTGGTTTTCTTCTCGGTTTTGATCCGTTGACCAAGTGCAATAATTCACATATGGTTGAATAGAGCATTGAAAGTTACATCTGGTGGCATGCTTTTTTTATCTTCATCAGCTCATATTAGTGGAGAAAAAAATATTTAATTTTGTAAAAATGGCTGGAAAATGTGTGTTATGTATGGGAAAAGATAGTTTCTCCTACTTTTCACTAATGAACCTTTTTAGTTTTGCGTTTAAAAACTGCACATGACTCAATGCTAGGTACTCATGTCAAAACTTGCTATAAATTCTTTTTTCCTAACCGTTTAAAATAGATCTTTTTAAAAATAAACTTAGACAAGCTCGTGACAGGTACCCTGAGTGGATTTATATATGATTTTTAGACGGTTAAGAGAAAAGAATTTATAGCAAGTTTTGACATGAGTACCTAGCATTGAGTCATGTGCAGTTTTTAATACAAAACTAAAAAGGTTCATTAGTGAAAAGTAGGAGAAAATGTCTTTTTGGCTGTGAATTTACTAAAAACACAGAAAATTAAAAAAGTAGGAAAAGTAGGAGAAAATCTAGACAACAGTCTTACCTCTGAAAATCATTATTTATGATATTCTTTTTTGTTTTTTTGTGATGTATTAACCTGCAAACCACATTTTTTCGTATTCATGCGTCACGCATAAGACAATTAGCCGTATAAACGACCGAGAGTTCTTGAATTAGTTCAGCCGGCCTATTCAACAATATTTTTAGATCGATAATAATCAAGGACACTTTACGAGTTCGTTGGTCATTCACTAATGCTTAACGGAAGAGAATCCTAAAACACTTGTTTACTTACTCTATGCTCACGTT